CACAAGTACGGGGAAGAACTTATTATCCAAGTTAGAGTAGAGTCCAAAATAAAAAACAAGCTTCCAAGGTTGGTTCGTCTGCTTACAAATAAAACTCACAGTTAACTTTAAGTTGCAGCAGTGGCGGCGGCTTCTAGCTTCGCCGAAGCGAAGGCGTCCTGGATCGCGGAGAATCCTCGGGGCTCCGGAGGAGTTCTCATCTACATCGTCCATATAGGACGACTCGGGAACTCAACTCCTACCCCGGGCAGCTCACCTATCCCCTTATGCCCAGGGGAAAGGTATCAGGCCGTTTGACAGCTGGTACTGGCTGTCAAAACGGCTTTTACGCAAAACAGGCGGGAGGCAGCAAACAGCTGCGACCGACGAAGTCGCCTGCCACCGGAAGTCCTTCGATTCTCACCCAAGATTTGACAGTACACAGCCCTGTCCATCGTCCCTTTGATGTGGTGAAGTTGTCCTGTTCCCTTAGCACAAAAACACCCCCAAAGCATAATGTGTCCTCTATGTTTGACAGTGGGGATGGTGTTCTTGAGGTAATAGGCAGCATTCCTCCTTCTCCTCCATGGCGAGTTGAGTTGATGCCAAAGAGCTTGATTTTGGTCTCAGCTGACCACAATACTTTCATCCAGTTCTCCTCTGAATCATTCAGATGTTCATTGGCAAACTTCAGACAGACCCGTACATGTGCTTTCTTGAGCAGAGGGACTTTGCCAGCACTGCAAGATTTCAGTCCTTCACGGTGCAGTGTGTTACTAATTGTTTCCTTGGTGACTATGGTCCCAGCTGCCTTGAGATCCTTGACAAGATCCTCCCCAGTTCTGGGCTGATTCCTCATCGTTCTCATGATCACTGAAACTCCATAAGGTGAGATCTTGTATGGAACCCCAGACCGAGGGAGATTGACAGTTATTCTGTGTTTCTTCCATTTGGGAATAATCGTGTTGTGGGTTCCTTGATTGCCAGCAATTCCGGCAGCCAGGTCAGATGAATCGGATGAAGGGGAAGAGGTGCCTGGGTTCACAGTGGAGTCTGTAGAAGGCTCTGAGGAGCAAGAAGACTCAGAGCCAGACATGGAGCCGGGCCCATCTACTCACGCTCAGGCAGAGAGACAGCTATGTTGGGGGCCTGAACTGACCGAAGAGGAACAGCTGGGGCCTGTCCCAGATGTGGTTATGTGCAGAGAGGAGAGGTGTGCAAGACAATGGAGGGCAGTGGTACGGCTCTCCAGGAAAAATAAGAGGCTCTAAGAAGCCACGCCCTGGCTGGACTATAAAGAGGAGAGGTGTGGGAGGTGCCGGTTGCTGCAGGCAACTGTTCATGCTCCAGTATCTTGTTTCTCTGTCGGATTTCTTTTGCTAGGATTCTTTGCCAGGTTTGTCAGCTTTCTTTGTGTTTGCGTTGAATTGCTAAATGAGCCTTCCTGCTGGGAACTCAGAGACTTTGTACTTATCTCAGCCAGGTGGGAGCAGAGACTGCTACTGTTTGTTTCAACATCTAAGGACTGGTTATCTGAAGTTTATTCCATAAATGCCTTGTTAAAATAAAAAGGGTTTTTTTCCTCATGAGTAAGCCGTTGAGTAGCAGTCGCAATGGCTGGGTCAGA